GCTGTGGTTCTGCAGATGAGGACGGGGAAGTTACAAAGCCACCAGTGTATTTACTGGAGGGCACAGCAAGCCAATCTGAGAAGAGCAACTGAAACCAGGAGCGGGTTCTACAAACTCAGTATGAGGCTAAGTACGATGGGCCCTGATCCAATACCCGACGGGGTTGGAGTGGGTTGGGTCCTCTCTACTCTCAAAGTGACAAACCTCCATCTCATACAAAGCCTTGCCCTGAGGAACATCTGCGCAGAATGACAGAGGCAAGGAGCAAAGATCCAGACAAATGGGCTGAAGTCGCAGAGCAGAGGAGGGAGCTCTGGAAAAGCTGGACGATTTTTATTTTCTTATTTATTTGGGAAAAACCAGAAGAGACAGCTCTAGAGCCTGAGAAGTAGAAAGGCTGTCCTGGCCTACCCTTTGCTCCTGAAAGTAGAGGAAAATTCATTTCACTTAGAAAATGAACAACAGAGAAGCACTGTAGTAGAAATCCATAAAAAGTTAATTTAAGAGAAAGAAAAAGAAAACATAAAAATAAAACTTCTACAATGAATGCCTGCTTGGAAGAAATGTTCATGGAACTTTTCAAATATTCCAAAACAAGTTAAAGGAAATTTAAGAAAATGATAAACGATATGAAAAGACAACATACCTCAGTGTTAGAGGAAAAAAACTCAGAATTAAGGTGAATGACAAAAAGAAAATTTGAAAAAAAAGAGGTGGCAGAATTTAGAAAATAACTAGGAATAAAATAAAAAATGATTGGAGAGATATTGACATACAAATCGGCAGAAACACAAGGGACAGAGGGCATTCAATGACACAATAGGGATGAAATGAACAAAATCCAGACGGTGAGAAACTCTAAAGGACAAATGATTCAATTTCTTCAACAAAAACAATAAAAATTTTGGAAAAAGAAATAAAAAGAAAAAGGAAAAAATTAATATAGATAAACGAGATTTGGAAATTGTTTCAGAAATTGCCAAGTAGCGAACTTGTTTGGATGATAATTCAAACATATTTGCCATTTAAGAATTGCAAGACAACTAGGAAAATATGAATGTGACAGTATTTAATGATATTAAGAGATTAATGTTATTTTAAAGTATGACATGATGATATCGTGGTGATGTTTATTCAAATAACAATTGTCTATTAAAGCGTATACTGAAATGTTTGTAAATAAAGGTACTTAATGTCACTATAAAATTACCCAGAAGGAGATGAAACAAGGCTGTACTGTACTGATATTTAGTGAAGCTGGTCGATGAGTCCTTAGCAGTTCTTTATATTACACCATTTCTACAGTCTTATATTACTGTAATACAAAGCTTAATAAAAAACAAACAATACAGGAAGCCTTAGAGCTTGGCACCCACCAAGCATGAACAGCCCATGATTCTCTTATGAGACAGCAGTGACATCTGCAGAGGATTTCAATAGGTAGAGAGATACTGTGTAACCTGTCCCCTCAGCCTGGCTTCCCTTTTGAGTTTTGTAGTGTTCTCTCTCCCTAAACTGACCTGGAGGCGTTGTTCCATCACTTACTAGAATGTAAGACCTAGCAAGGATTTTGCTAATTTTATTGCTGCTATAATGATCTTAGAATAGTACCTAGCGGGTAGTAGGCTCTCAGGAAATATTTGTTGGTTCATTGAACAAATGCCCATATGTAACTCCAGTACATAATTTCAGACTCTAATGATCACTTCTGGTAATGAGGAAATTAATTTCTTGGATAGAGGATGAGAATTCTTCACTTTGTAACGACCTAAGCTTGGATTAGCTTCTGATATGGCCTCCAAAGATAATCGATGTCTGATGCTGCCGCCACGGAGGCCTCTGCGCAGCTGCTGAGCCGCTGGCGGTGCCACGGACAGCGAAGGACTGAGGACCGTGGGCAGCGACTGCTCTCACTTTGCTGGGCGTCCGGGATCCAGTAATCAGCCAGTGGGCATTGCTTAAAACACAGCACTGTATATGTTGGCAATTGATGGGAATAAGTAAGTGGAAATCTTCCATATGATTTATTTACCTTGTTGTTTGGTTGGTTTATTTCATCAGTGAAGATACTTAAAAGCTAAGTGCAGCCCTTTCATCTCCTCAGTTGAGAAGCAGTAAACTGTAGTGGAAGCATGACAATTTTCAGAATATATAGACCCGAGCTGAAGCCTTTAAAAAATAAAATTGGCCAGCTGATGCCATCTCCACCGTCAACCTGTTTCTTTCTCTCTCTCTTTCACACACACACACACACACACACACACACACACACACACCTTTTGTATACATATTCACAAAGAGAGGCCTGGACTTATTTATAGCAAATATTAATGGCTATTTCTACTAGCGGAATTTTGGATGATTTTCAGTTTTCTTTTTCTATTTTAATCAACCTTAGAATGACAAAGAAGTAAATATTGAACTAAAGATGGCCCCAGGGAACTCTGTATAATGTTCTTATAGCAGCCATGCAAACTCTCATCTTTTTCCATATACTGAACCATTTGGGATGGAGTCAACCAGTGATTCCCCTCATTGAAAAGATGAAGCCATGTTGTTAAATAAAATAAATCCCTGGACAATAGAAGTCAAACAACTGTTTTGTTATCAGTCACTAGGAAATTGAACCCTGCTCCTCTGAGAATGGAAAATGCCAATCAATGACTGCCATTCTCTCCAGGCTGATGTAAGAGTTCAGTTTATGTCTGGCCAAGGCAACAGCAAACTGTACCAATATGACTTAAGTTAAGGGGGTCACTTTCCTCACAAAGCAAGAAAGCTGGAGGTGAGCAGTGGAGGCTTGGAGTGGCCACTTGACCGGCAGCGCCCACTGCGACTCAGATGGGTTTGCTCTTCCCGCTCTGTCACTCTTGGGTTTCAGTCTCTTAACTGCAAAATGGCTGCTGTGCCTCCACACATGATGCCCACATTCCAGACACCAAGAAAGAAAGGACCGCAAGGCTTTTTTTTCCTCAAAGCTTTGTGTTTTCTTGTGAGAATGCATGCCATTCCTAGAATATCTGCCAATATTGCTTTGGCCATATGGCCATTCTTAACTGCAAGAGAGCCAGGAAAGATGGCTATTTTAATATGGTCAAAATGACACAAAAATCTAACAAAATTAGATCTTTGTTAGAAAAGAAGAGGGCTCTGGTTCGATTCCTGGGTCAGGAAGATCCACTGGAGAAGGGATAGGCTACCCACTCCAGTATTCTTGGGCTTCCCTTGTGGCTCAGCTGGTAAAGAATCCGCCTGCAATGCAGGAGACCTGGGTTTGATCCCTGGGTTGGGAAGATCCCCTGGAGAAGGGGAACAGCTACCCACTCCAGTATTCTGGCCTGGTAAATATACAGTCCATGGGGTTGCAAAGAGTCAGACACGAGTGAGTGACTTTCACTTCCCTTCATTTCAATGAGGTAGATGAACCTTGAGTCTATTATAGAGAGTGAAGTAAGTCAGAAAGAGAAAAACAGCTATCATATATTAAGGCACATGTATGGAATCTAGAAAAATGGTACTGATGAACTTATTTGCAGGGCAGAAATAGAGATGGAGACATAGAGAACAGACTTCAGACAAAGCAGAGGAAGGAAAGCATGGGATGAATTAAGAGTAGCATTGAAAATATACATTACCATACGTATAACAGATAGCTAATGGGAAGTTACTGTATAACACGGGGAGCTGGAAGTGTTTCTCTGTGACAACCTAGAGGGGTGGGATGTAGCTGGAGTTGGCGGGGGGAGGTTCAAGAGGGAGGGAACATATGTACACCTATGGTTGATTCACATTGTTGTATGGCAGACACCAACACAATACTGTAAAGCAATTATCCTCCAATTAAAAATACTTTTCTACAAAGTAGGGGAGGGGCTGAATCTATGGGCAATTTTCAAGCTTGACTGTAAGCAGTTACAAAGGCTTTGCCCGGCAGCATCCACGGGGGAAGAGCTGCCCTCCGCATACTGGACTTGGTGACAGCCAGCCCCTGCATATCTGGAGTCACACAGATACTGGTGCTTTTGCTCCTGGTCTCCCTTAAGCTGAGGCCTCCAAGCTCCTCTGCTGAGACATGCTTAGGAAGGCAGGGAGAATAACCTAAGAATTTTATCACCAGTGCTTCTCAGGATCCTAATCCCGCTCTCACATCTGGAATTCACTTCAAGATCATCTGAGGCCCGAGGAGTTGGAGTGGGTGTAGACCGACTGTGAGTTGATAATTGCTGAAACTGGGTAACAGGCATATGGGACTTCACTCTGTGAGTCTCTCAATTTTTGTAGGTTTACCATTTTTCATGATCAACAATTTCATTCTTTTTTTTTTTTTCCTCTGTTCTCCATTCTGACAAAAAAAATAGCATAACAACGTGTTAACTCTGAGTCTCTGGAAAGTCACAACTGCTCCCCCCAAACCCAACTCATTCCCTGTGGACCGTGGCCACACAGAGGTGTTCGTGAGCACTGTAAGATCTGAAAAACATATATTAACAGACCAGTCATATTCAAAGAATGATCACGAGAAAACCCTGAAACAGGTACATATCGCTTTTGATTCTGAATCATTAATAAGGAAATTCAGGGGCCCTTGAGCTGAAAAAGACCAGGAGGGCAGGTGCGGGAGGAACCATCAAGGAGCTTTTGCCACTGGTCGGGACAGGCGGTGACAGTGTTGGCTGGTTGGGGGGAAAGGCCAAGAAACGCAGGTCCGATCCCGACGCTGCCGCTGGCTTGCTGTGTGGCCTCGGGCCAGAGCCTTCACCTTCCTGAAAATCAGCTGCTGATCTATAAGGTGGGCAGCTGGGGAGCAGCCGACGTCTAACTTTCAGCTCTTTCAGCCCGGATGTGCTCGAGGCAGTGAAGACAGAGCTGAGGACACACACAGCGGCCACCCCAACACACTAACCGAGCAATGAACCCACAACACACACTGGGAGTGTGGGAGATGTGGCAGGGGGGTGGGCCGTGGGTTGGTGCTAGCCCGGCCCTAGGGAGGAAACCGATCAAGGACACGCGTCCTCCTGGGGCGGGGGCGGTGCTCCGGGGCGGGGGCGGTGCTGCTGGAGTGGAGGGCGGTGCTCCGGGGCAGGGGGGGGTGCCCCGGGGCGGGGGCGGTGCCGCTGGAGTGGGGGGCGGTGCTCCGGGGCGGGGGCGGTGCTGCTGGGGAAGCCCCTCCCTCGGCCAGCAGCACAGAGGAAATGGTCAGCGGGTTCCAGGACACCTGTTTCAACCTAAAGGGAAAAATGGGTGAACTCATGGCCCAGACCAGGAAGAGCCAGCTCTCCAGAGATCTACAGGTCCGTCCAAGCGTGCATGAGCCAGAGCTCCAGCCCTCAGAAGAATCCACAGAGGAGCTTGTTGGAAGGAGAGGTTGTCAGGACCCACCCCCACTCTGATTCGGTGGGTCTGCACTGGGCCCTGGGTCCTCCACTTTTTAACAAGCTCCTCAGCCATCCTCATGGTGGCACAAGTGGTAAAGAACCCGCCTGCCAATGCAGGAGACATAAGAGATGCGGGTTCGATCCCTGGGTCGGGAAGATCCCCTGGAGGAGGGCATGGCAACCCACTCCAGTGTTCGTGCCTGGAGAATCCCATGGACAGAGGAGCCTGGTGGGCTACAGTCCACAGGGTCGCAGAGTCAGACACGACTGAAGCGACAGCGCACACACGCACAGCCATCCTGATGCAGGTGACTGGTCCATACCTCAGTGTAAGAAACATAGCTCTGAGGGATGGAGCCTGCCAACAGGAGGAGAGACAGGAGCGCTGCTTTGCTCACCACATCTGGGACAACTGACCCGAGCCCCTTGAGATTCTGCCTCAACTGTCTCCAGGTTTGGTGGCTGGAATTCTAGTACCGCACTCCCGTGAAGGACCAGCTCAAGGGACAGGCTGCAGGGAGAGGAAGTAAAGAAAGGTGGTTCCCTGGCACACAGTCTCCAAGGATAAAGCTCCCCATTTTTGCTCCTGTGTGTAGACAAGAAAGAATTGAATGTAAGACAGAGTGACGAGGAAGCCGGCGAGGATGACCCAATTATGGGAAGTGTGGAAGCTGATCTCCAAGGATGGCTCCAAAGGAACCACACCTCCTGGGACCCATGCCCTTGTGTGCTGCCCCCTCTCACATTGGCCCGGGCAGGTCTGTGACTCACTGACCAAAAGAATGTGGTGGGAGTGACATCATGTCATCTGTGAGGCTGAACCCTAAGGGATCCACATGTCTGCTTTCACTTCTTGGAAGCTTTCTTCTTCTTTCAAAATTTTTATTGGAGTATAATTGCTTTTGGGCTTACCAGGTGGTGCAGCAGTAAGGAATCTGCCTGCCAAGGCAGGAGACACAAGAGGGTTTGGTCCCTGGGTCGGGCAGATCCCCTGGAGGAGGAAACGGCAACCCACTCCAGTATTCTCGCTTGGAGAATGCCATGGACAGAGGAGTCTGGTGGGCTATGTGTCCACGGGGTCGCAAAAGAGTTGAATACAACTTAGCGACTAAACAAACATCGGTTGCTTTACAATGTTGTATTATTTTATGCGGCACAACAAAGTGAATCCGTCATATGCATACATATATCCTCTTTTTGGATTTCCTTGCCATTCAGGTCACCACAGAGCAGTAAGTAGAGTTCCCTGTGCTATGGGCTAGGTTCTCATTAGTTATCAGTTTTATACATAGTATCCATAGCGTGCATATGTCAATCCCAATTTCTCTCACCTCCTCTTTCCCTCCTTGGGACTGTCCACACATTTATTCTCTACCTCTGTCTTCATTTCTGCTTTGCAAATAGGTTCATCTGTACCATTTTTCTAGATTCCACATATATATGTTAATATACCATATTAGTTTTTCTCTTTCTGACTTACTTCACTCTGCATGATGGACTCTAGGTCCATCCATGTCTCTGCAAGTGAATCTTTCTTCTTCTTTTTTTTTTTTTGAATGTTTCTTCTTGAACCAAGCCGCCACGTTGTGAGGAAGCCAAGGCCACTGGGTGGAGATGCCCCAGCAGAGCAGAACTGAGGCCTGGGTCAAACGGCCCCAGCTGAGCACCCACTGTGGACCTTCTAGCTAACCCTGCCTCTCAGCCAGCACCAGGTTAAGCAGAAGAGCTGCCTGGTGAGCCCACAGACTCATGAGAACTAACACACTGTTATTGTCTGAAGTCACTAAGTCTTGGGGTCTTAGTGTCTGTCACACAGCAGCAGATAAACCAAGTGGGGAGTTTCCCCCAGAACTGATATCAGATTTAAATTCTTGGCTTCAGCAAAATCGGGATGGTTCTCTACTGTGTCCTGATGCTTAGACCTGTTTGCAAAACTCTTTCCAGAAATAGTGGTTTATTCTCAAGCATATGACTCTGGTACCACTTACTAGAAAACAAAAACAAAAAAAAACCCTGCCATTTTTCCTACCAGTTTGCCAAACAATAGTATAAATTTGAAGGATAATGAGAATTAGGAAGTTTTGACATGTTCATGTTGGTACATACTTACCACTAACTGTAAAATAAATGAAATTATTTAATAATAAACATCTCCAATTTTAACACTAGTAAACTAGAGCCAGGACTGTGTATCAGACCATCCAGTTATTGCAGGAGAGTTCGGAGGACTCTGTGGAAGGCATATGTTTATAGCGCTCAGTAGAAAGACACCATTATTGTCTTCAGGTTGCCTGGTCCCCTATCCTTATAATGAGTAAGATATTTAAAGTCCCAAACTGTTGATGTGACATTTCAATAAGTAATGCAGAGATTCGACAACATTTCCATATTCCTCTTTTAAAGTCTGGATGCCTCTGCCTTAATCCAAGCTCCTTGGCATTTATTACTGTTTGTTACACTAACAAGTAAGATTACGAGAATCCTAATGAAGGCTTCCAGTGAAAAACTCTGTGATTAAAATGCCGTAATAACAGTTGCATGCATTTATGTGCCTGATTACCATAATCTATTTAGCACAAGTAAACACACAAACAGAAGGAGAAAAGCAAGCCCACTGACACTCCAGCTAAAGGAGAATTTGAAATGAGAGAGAGAGACAATGTAAATATGTAAATGTCTTTGTGCATTCTTTTCATCTCTCTCCTTTCTCATCCTTGCCTGTTTTTTTTCCTGTTTGCTAATGAGAAGACTACACCATCCCATGCGGTCCCTCCTTAGCCAGGCTGAGGTGCATTTGGGGGCCATCTGCTGGGGCCAGAATCCTAAACAATGCCACCCAGGGAGCGCTGGATATATCTGTGGCCACCTTTGACATCCTGGACGAGAAGGAATGGTCTCTCAAAGACGCTAGTCTTTGATGCGTTCAATCTGAACACTTAGTTCAGCTGTTACTCCATTAATGCAAGGCCTGGAGGAGCAGGGCCATGTGTACCCTGCCCTCCGCCTCCTCCCATTGCCCTTCCCCCACAAACACCGCACTGTCAACAAATTATTACAGCAGCGATCACACCAGATTTCTCAATTAGCCTCCCTGGGCATCTCTTGGCTTCCTTATTTTTCATTCCCTTGGCTTCCTTATTTTTCATTCTTAATAAAATGTCAGGCAGGAGAGTCCCTGGGATCTTCTGCTTGGTGAAGCATTTTACAAAACTTTTCAAAAGTGGAACCGAATACTTTAACAGTGGGATAATGGTGACGGGCTGGTAGGGAAACAAATTACAGAAACTTGCCAGAATCCCAAACGTGTTGTGCCAAGGAGATGGCATAGGCGTGTTCTTTGCTCAAAGGAGGAAATTTCTCAAACAGGAACAGGAGGGTAGTTATCTGGCCTTAACGGAGAGAGAGGAGCAGGTAAATTCACATGGAAAAGCATCCGAGAAGAGACACAGATGTAGAGACCAGATGTATGGGCGGTAGGGGTAGAGGGGAGATTGGGAGATTGGGATTCAGCCTGTTTAGTTCAGGCGCTCAGCCGTGTCCGACTCTGCAACCCCATGGACTGCAGCACGCCAGGCTTCACTGTCCATCACCAGCTCCCAGAGCTTGCTCAAACTCACACCCATCGAGCTGGTGATGCCATCCAGCCATTTCAGTCTCTGTGGATCCTTCTCCTCCTGCCTTCAATCTTTCCCAGCATCAGAGTCTTTTCCAACGAGTCAGTTATTCGCGTCAGGTGGCCTAAGTATTGAAGCTTCAGCTTCAGCATCAGTCCTTCGAATGAATATTCAGGACTGATTTCCTTTAGGATAGACTGGTTGAATCTCCTTGCAGTCTAAGGGACTCACAAAAGTCTTCTCTAACACCACAGTTCAAAAGCATCAATTCTTCAGTGCTCAGCTGTCTTTATAGTCCAACACTCACATCCATAGATGACCACTAGAAAAACCATAGCCTTGACTAGATGGACCTTTGTTGGCAAAGTAATGTCTCTGCTTTTTAATATGCTGTGTAGTTTGATCATAGCTTTTCTTCCAAGGAGCAAGTGTCTTTTAATTTCACCATCTGCAGTGATTTTGGAGCCCCCAAAAATAAAGTCTCTCACTGTTTCCATTGTTTCCCCATCTACTTGCCATGATGGGAGATTGGGATTGACATTTGTATACTATTGATACAAAATAGATAACTAGTGAGAACTTACTGTGTCTTTGTAGCACAGGGAACTCTACCTAATGCTCTTTGGCAACCTAAATGGGAAGGAAATCCAAAAAAGAATGGAGAAGTATACACACACACACACACACACACACACACACACACACAACTGATTCATTTTGCTATGCAGCAGAGAATAATACAACATTGTAAAGCAAGTATACTCCAAAAATTTCTTTTTTAAAAAAGCCTAGGGGAGACAGTTGGTACAGATCTATTGTAGAATGTCAGACAAATATAGAACCTATGGGTTTAGATGAAACACTGAGGCCCAGTGATAATCATACTGGCTTTTGATTTTAAAGATTTTTTTGTAGGGACTTCAAAAATAATTTTGAGGTGTATACAAAAAAATCTTGGCACCCTCATATATAGGGGGCACTTACAGCCAACATTTATTGATCTGTTACTATATCCAGTCCCTGCTCTAAATGCTTCCCACACATCGTTAAGCTTGACTCCCATAGTAAGCCTGTAAGGAAGATCAACCACGGGTGACATCTCACAGAAAGGGTAAACAGCTTGCCCGTGCTCACAAGCTCATTTGTGTCTGACTCTTTGCGGCCCCGTGTACTGTGCCTAGGAAGGCTCTAGTTTAATAAGTGAGCAAACTGGAATTCTAATCCAGGCAATCTGAA